CTATGATATTTTGAACCGTGATGTGATATCACGGAAGTCTTTGGGAACCACCAGCGAATTTTACTGACTAAAATATACATTCAAGAAACGTTTGCTCCCTGCACGCTTTCGGTCCTCCGGCCACACGAAGAGCCAAAAAAAGTTCGTCCCTTCCTCAAATTGCAGGATCGGGCGGCTCTGTGGTTTTCTGCGGTCGAAGCTTTGTGGTTTCCAGAGCTATTTTGCGCGCCTGTAACACAGAGTGGCTCTTAGGCTTTTCTTAAATTTAATTTTCGAAGCCAGAATCCCAAGCGCCAGCAATTTCTTTGCTATATTTAAGGCAAACGACTATAACGAAGCCACGGAGCCATCGCGACGGTAACTAGCCCCTGCGTGCCGTGGCGGGGGGACAAATTCGACCCCCAACCTCGGGGAATTTTAAAAAAAGGAGAAAGCGGGAGGGGGAAAACCCACCCTTCACCTGGGCTGACAGCCTGGGCGCACGCGGTAGCAGCGACAAACCTTACGTCCCGGGGCGGCAGCTCCCGAGGGAGACGGCGAGGGGCCGCGGCCTCGGCAGGGGCCCGGGGGGGCTACAGCAGTTTACGTAGGCACAAAAACGAGCCGCAGGCGCTGCTTTACGGAATGGAGATGCTGCAGCTTTGCAGCTCCCACCTTGCTACGCGCAAGGCGAGCCGGGGCAAGGCAGTTGCTATTTACTCCGCAACTACATTTAGCTTTTGTTACCTGCTTCAAATGCAATTCCTCGCGGAAAAGCAAAAGGATGCCTCCATCCTTTGCAGTAAGCGCGCGTTCAGCAGCGCAGACGCTGCTCTCGAACGTCCCTGCTACAGGGTTAGGATCGGGGAGGGTAACCCTTAAAATTGGTCTGACTTTGGTTTCTCGCGCTTCTTCATTCCCAGGGACGCGGGCTGCCTGGGTGCCCGGCCAAGGGCGCAGGGCGGGCAGGGAAAGCCCCGGGCGTTGCTCCTCCGCAGAGCCGGCCTCCAGGACGAGCGTCCCGGGAGGCTGAACGGCCGTGATGTACGATGCTTGCAGCCGGCAAAGGGCGTTACGCCAACGCGCCGATAGGAAAGGCTCCAGCGCTTTTAAGAGATGCTATATCAGCGGCAAAATAAAGTTTTAATTGCGCTCGTTAAAAAGCGCTCACGCTCCCTTTTCCAGAAAAACAGCACCTAGAACCAGACGAGAGGCAGGTAAACGTTC